TAATTATATATAATTACATATATTTATAATTTTTTAAATATACAGGATGTACCAGAGTTAGCGTAGGAGCCGGCACGTACATATTCCTCATGAAAAAGTAAATCGAAAATGTTAATAGCAAAATCTTAAGGCATCAATAGTTTTCAAACGGTGAGCATTTCAAGAATGTATCAAGAGAGAGCGCATCGCAGGCAAAAAATTCCAAACTGCTGTGCAAAGGATCGCTTAAAAATTCCGTTCGACATAATGGCTGTTGGAAGTTTTAATTTCATACGAAGTGTGATGTCGCCTCTATGTTCGAATTTATAGAATACAGCATTGAATATTTTCATTTATGATAATAGAGAGTAAATAAGATAACCTATGATCTTGAGCCAGTTTTTCAAAGAAGGGCGAGATATAAGGGCGTTCATCTCGTCTAGCATGGATTATATACCTGATTAGGCATTCAATTATCTCTGTATGCGTAGATTGAGGGAGGGAGAAGAGGGAGGGAGAGAGAGAGAGAGAGAGAGAGAAAACAGATCAAAGATAAATCTAGTTAACCAAATGTAGAAATATACGATTATTTTCTTAATTATTATCCTCCTTCTTTCTCTGCTTCTCTCTATGTTCCCCATTAGTTCTTCACCGAGTAGCCCCCTTCCTTCAACCCTCGAATGAGCTCCTTCTCTGTCTCTTTAGATCTTCTCGTCTTCTCTTTTCTTCAGATCAATCCAGCTTTAGTTTTAATCGAAAGAATATATTCTATTTTTCAGTCTTTAACGTTTGAATCTCCTTGTCTCCTGAATTCCCTCTCTCCCACATATTCTTCCTCTTTAATTGAATTCCTTGAGGTTCCTTCTCCCCATTCTAAATATTACAATATCATTGAGGCAATCCTAACTCCTTACATATCTTATTTTCTCAGTTTTTTCAATTTCTATCCTTTCCGACAAGGTCTACGTGATCGATCCAGATTATGACTGGATGAAATTCGATCCATAATTTCCAAAGTCGATTTTCTTTATGCCTTCTCCCCGATTTCTCTGATTGATTACGAAATCCCGGCTAACTTCTTCTTAATTTTTACTTTCTACTGCTATAATCACTGGAACAAAGCTTCTAAAAAAAAAGAAATAAATGAATGAATTCTTAATATCTTTCTTAATATCTCATCCTCTCTCGATCTCGAACGCACGCACGCACGCACGCATTTACATAATTAGATTCATTTATTTACTAGATCCACATTAATCGTTAGTTAATTAGTAAGAAGAATAGCATAAATTTATATTTGTAACCAAATCTTTTTCTTTTCATATACGTATGGCAATTTATTCGTAGCAATAGCATAAATGTGAATTCGTCTTATAATTTTATAATGAATTTAAAGAAACCTGCGAACATCTTGATTGTATTGTATTTTTCAAATCAAAATTATAATTATAATAAGTACAACGAGCATAATTATTTTGCAGGTGTATCAATAAAAATTAATATAATTTTGTAACGATATTTTTATTTCTATCTATTTCAGTAATAAATCAAAGCTCGTTTTGAAACCTGTTGAGTTCATTTAAAATATCTTCGTGTTTGACCCTGGCTTTCCATAAGATTGCACAGGTTCATTCCCTGATTAAAAGAATTCAATTCCTTGATCTAAATATAAAGGACCGACGAATGCATAGTCTCAATGTAAGTATTATAACTATCATAGGTTCCGTCGATTCATATTTGAGATTTACGTAGGTGCATTCAATTTCGTGGCTTCCAAACGTTATCAATGAACAAAGTGCTTCCTCATGCCCCCTTAATTTTAACAAAATCTGAGAAATAAAAGAATCCTGAGGTTTGGATGTAACACTTTATTCGAGTTGTGTCTGCAATAAACGGAACAAGAAGTAATTTTACGATAATATCAAAATAGTATAGAAAGATGCAACAGAAGATTCGAATTTAGTTTCCTGAGTTTATGCTGGGTCTGCATCGATATGAAGTCTGATACTGTCATATATATATATATAT